ATCATGTGTCTCTATGTAGTCATCATGTGTCTCTGTGTAGTCATCATGTGTCTCTATGTAGTCATCATGTGTCTCTGTGTAGTCATCATGTGTCTCTCTGTAGTCATCATGTGTCTCTTTGAAGTCATCATGTGTCTCTTTGAAGTCATCATGTGTCTCTATATAGTCATCATGTGTCTCTTTGAAGTCATCATGTGTCTCTTTGAAGTCATCATGTGTCTCTTTGAAGTCATCAAGTGTCTCTTTGAAGTCATCAAGTGTCTCTTTGAAGTCATCATGTGTCTCTTTGAAGTCATCAAGTGTCTCTTTGAAGTCATCATGTGTCTCTTTTAGGTTCGGGCAGATCATCGCGCAGATAGAGGGCGACTTCTCCCACGCCAGAAACATTCTGAAAGACTACAAGCTGCTGTCGAACCGCGTTCTCGCCGCCATGTTTGTCGCCGCGCTGATATTTGAATCTGCTCGTTACCTGAAGTCTTACCTGGGATCCGTTCAGTTCGATAATGAACGCGTCTCTAAGGAGGACGAGGCCGAAAGTAAAGGTTGTCCCACGGGCTGCAGGATGAGCGGTCCGGAGTTCACTTCCTGCTTCCTGTCTCTGCTCGTGGTCACGTTGTATTTCATGGCGATAACGTTGGTGGTCGCTCTGGATCACGTCGTGTTTCTGATCGTCCAGGCCGCGCTGCCGTGGATGCTGGAGTTCCCACCGACGACGGCCAGCATCAGTCTCGATTATAAGGTACAACGTGGTCATTTTGTAACTCTGAATAGTCATTTTGTTTTTGTTTGTTGTCTTCAAGTGTCTTGTTGTCTTTGTGTCCCTGTACAAAAGCATCAGCTAAATGAAATGTAATGTTTAACGGTTTTTTTGGTCGTCATTTTCTGTCAATCTATTCGAAGTTGTTTAATGATTTTTGTCGCCTTTAAGTTTCTTTTGAGGTAATTTTGAGTTTTTGTAGTTCTTTATGTATTTTGCATCTCGTTTAGTTGTTTTCTGTGTCTTTTCAGTAGTTCAGAGTGTTGCTGTAGTCATTTTGTATATTTTTGTCATCAATCTGTGTCTTTTAGTAAAAATGTCCTGTCTATTTGAAGTGGTGATTTTCCATCTCGTTGAAGTCAGTTCGTGTTTGGGACTTTCTGAACTCATGTCATGTTTCTCCGTGTCTCTCTGAAGTCCTCTTGGCTCACTTTGTGGTTGTTTTATGTGATTTTGTAGCCTTTGTGAATATTCTTGTTGTTATATTTTGTGTTTTTGAGGTTATAATGAGTCCCTTAGCAGTTGTTTAGCATCTCTTTGTCATTATGTGTGTTTTTGAAGTTGTTTATGTATTTTTGCATCTCATAGTTGTTTGTGTGTCTTTTTAGTAGTTCAATGTGTCTCTAAGTTCATTTAGCATCTTTTTGTATCTTGTTGAAGTGATTCTCTGTCTGTTTGTAGTCTTTAAGTGAATCTTTGTGGTGTTTAAGTTTCTTTTTGCTGTCAGTCTGTGTCTTTTTATAGACATTTTCAGTCTCTTTGTAGTCATTGTGTCTTCTTGTGATCGTTTTCTATCCATTTATGTTCATTTCCTGTCATTTTTCATCTCGTTGAAGTCAGTTTGGGACTTTCTGAACTCTTTATGTTTCTCTGTGTCCTTCTGGGACACTTTGTAGTTGTTCTTTTTGATCATTATTGTCTGTCTGTATTCTTTTATATTCTATACATCTCAGCAGTCATTTTTCCTCTCTTCAAGACATGTTGTGACTTGTGTGGTCGAGTGTCTCTTTAATGTTGTGTGTAGGTTTCTTGGTGGTTGTGTTGTTTGTTGTGTCTTTGCCTGTTCTGAGTCCATCCACAGCTGCAGTATCTTCTTCCTCGTTATTTGAACTCTCTCTCTTCTAACCTCCTGGCAGGTGAAATGGTTCCCTCCGGCCCTCTGCCTGATCCCAGAGCTGTGCTTCAGTCGGGAGCTCACACACTTCCACAGAGACTACAACTGGACCTTTGACCCCGAGCCCTCCCTGTGCGAGGCGTCCGTCGCCCCCCCCAGCCCAGGCGTCTCCCTGCTGCTCGGCTTCCTCTGGATCCTCAGCTACCTCCTCGTCTTCATCGAGGTCTACGCCCGCCGGCTGAGAAGGAACATCTCAGGGTCCTTCTTCAGAGAGCAGGAGGAGAGGAGGAGGGAATACCGGAGGGAGAAGGAAGTCCAAGAGGAGCAGAGAAAACAGAAACACGTCACGAATGTTCTGGTTCGGTGAAGAGTGACCAACTCTAAATGTTCCTCTTTGATATCAGACATCTCTCTGCCTGTACACACAAACTGAAAGGTTGACAATAAAGTTGACTTTGACTTTCGACACTTACAACATTGTCTTGCACTTTGTTTTGTTTCTTTTCTGTCTCTTTTAAGATCAGAGGTATTTTATTGATCCCAAGTTTTGACATGTTTGCGTTGCAGCAGCATCAAAAACAACAAAACAAACCAAGGCGTTGCACTTCGGTTCTCCGGTGAAAGAGTGACACATGCACACTTTTGTTTCCCTGTAAATGTTCCTCTTTAAAATCAGATATTCAGTTTGTTCTCCTTCAACGTTCTCTTGTTTATTTTCTGTCTCTATTGTGACGACAGATAAGATGACATAAGAGGTTGCAGCTGCATAAAAAACTACAAAACAATACAAGGCGTTGGACATAATAATAATAATAAATTATATTTCTATAGCGCTTTTCTTGAAGACGCTTCACATTATGAGGGAGGGTAGACAAACAAGGACAGGCAAAAACAACAAAACTAAACAAAACAGAAAAGCAGTCAGGAGGAAGCTGGTTGAGAGGGGGGGGGGCTTCTGGATATACAGAGTTGAAGAGGTGGGTTTTGAGGCGGGACTGGAACCAGAGTCCTGCACGGGTCTGATTTTCAAGACCCGCTCCCGCCCCGCACCCGCGACGTGCAATACAGAACCCGCCCCGCTACCCGCACATATTGCCAATTAGTTCCGCAACCCGACCCGACCCGCCGGCACAAGATCCGCAACCCGACCCGAACCCGCATATATATAAGCAGTGAAAACGTGCAATTATTAACACACGCAGTTGCATGTTTGGCTCAAAAAGCCTGGGAGGTTGGTTATTTTCTGCATCGTAGGATGACACAAAAGCCTCCCCGGCGGGGGAGAGGTCTGGAGGTAATTTAAAC